TTCCATCATTCCTGACCCTTTAGTTCTTGAGAAGAAGATTTTTAAAAGATGCCATTAATTTTTAACTATTTTGTAATTGAGTTAAAAAAGATAAGAGGCCTAGGGGCCACATCACTCACCTGAGCACTATGGATAGGAAAAAGCAGAAATCAGTTCAGTCTTTAAAGGTTGAAAAGTTTAAACGTAAAAGTGGTTCGGGTGGGGGGGGGGGGGGGTTCATAAATTGAACAAATTTGAATCTACATTACCTGAAGATGCTTCCATTTAAATATGACCAATCATGGCTTTGCTGTTCTTGAGAAGAAGATTTTTAAAGATTTTTCCTATGTATTCCTATGTAAAACTTTGATCACCCATTGTGGCCCCACTCTACCCCCAGGGATCATGATTTGAACAAACTTGAATCTACACTATCTAAGAATGCTTCCGTATAAATATGACCAATCATGGCTTTGCTGTTCTTAAAAAATAGTTTTTTTTTTTTAAATATTTTTACTATGTATTCCTATGTAAAACTTTGATCGGCCATTGTGGCCCCACCCGACCCCTGGGGGTCATGATTTGAACAAACTTAAATCTACACTACCTGAGGATGCTTCCATGTAAATATGACCTAAGATGGCTTTGCTGTTCTTGAGAAGAAGATTTTTAGAGATTTTTCCTATACATGTATATTCCTATGTAAAACTTTGATCGCCTATTGTGGCCCCACCTGACCCCCGGGGGTCATGATTTGAACAAATTTGAATCAACACTACCTGAGGATGCTTCCATGTAAATATGACCAATCATGGCTTTGCTGTTCTTGAGAAGAAGATTTTTAAAGATTTTTCCTATATATTCCTATGTAAAAATTTGATCGCCTATTGTGGCCCCACCCGACCCCCGGGGGTCATGATTTGAATAAACTTGAATCTACACTACTTGAGGATGCTTCCATGTAAATATGACCAATCATGGCATTGCTGTTCTTGAGAAGAAGATTTTTAAAGATTTTTCCTATATACTCCTATGTAAAACTTTGATCGTCCATTGTGGCCACACCCTACCCCTGGGGGTCATGATTTGAACAAACTTAAATCTATACTACCTGAGGATGCTTGCACATAAGTTTCATATTTTCAAGCACAGTGGTTCTTGAGAAGAAGCCATTTATTTTTAACGAATTTATAATTATCAAGCCTTGGAAGAAGGCGTGGCCCTTCATTTGAACATACTTGAATCCCCTTTACCCAAGGATACTTTGTGGCAAGTTTGGTTGAAATTAGCCAAGTGGTTCTGGAGAAGAAGTCGAAAATGTGAAAAGTTCACAGACAGACAGACGGATGGACAGACGGACTACAGACAAAATGTGATCAGAAAAGCTCACTTGAGCCTTCGGCTCAGGTGAGCTAAAAAGCTACCATGTGTTGTTTGCAGCTATCTGAGTTTGGACTATTAATTGCGAAATAGGTACAAGTAAAGATGTTTTTGTATCAACTTATTTAATTGATATTAATTACAGCTAGGAAGGTTTTGATTCAATATGTTTTGGACAAATCCTGACATCTAAAATCTTCGAATTTCGATGACACCCGAATTTTCTCGCTAATGAGAATGTGGCCACTCATGAGTCTGCAGATGCATCGATTTTAAAAACCTTGCGTTCCAAATAATTTTGCTGTGTCCAGTACGCAGGTTCTTAAGTTAATGAGAACCCTGTCAGACATACGCACCTCATAATTGCATGTACAAAATATCTGAATGAATATTGAAAAAAATATTTTGCGATTGTAATTTTTGCGGATTTGTCCTATCCGCAAAATTCCGCAAAAATTGGACAACGGCAGAAAATACCCGTTATACGGTATGTACATGTGAAACTTTTTTTCCGGCGACAATATGAACAGAAGGACGACAATATGTGCAGAGAGGGTAGGTACATATTGTCGCCAATGACAATATGTACAGCGAATATTTACCGTCACAACCCCTTATTTTCTTTGCGATTATGAGTCATACTATATGAGTAGTCACCTTAAATATACAGGGTGTTTCATAATATATGTTACATTTTGAATCTTTAATTTGACAAAGACAAGAAAAAGATACAGACAAGTGTTTTTATCAATTTGATGCATGTATCCATAAGATTCATTATGCATAACTAGCAACCAAAATATTAAACACTGAACGAAATCTCAAACATTAATGAAAATTAGCAAAATTTCTAAATTACGCCATTTTTGTTACGTTGAATTTCTCAACGTCAAAAGCCCAAATTACTTGTTCTTAATGATCTCCACCATTTCAACTACAAATGAAAATTTCTTCTTGAAATTTGTATAACCTTGTCAGACATATTTGTTAGACACTCCTCATTTGAAGGTTTATGCAGGGGGGGGGGGGGGGGAGTTGCAGCTCATTCAGTATCTGTAGTCTAAGATTGTAGACCCTTTTCCTAAAGAAACCCTACAAAAAGGCTCAAAGGTTGAGACTGGCGAATGCAGAGATCAAACTCTTTTCTTGGGGGTATTGCATTATTGAAAATTTGTACGCTGATAACTATATGCATGTATATCATATTTCAAAGTTCAATATATGCTAGCAATGCTGATATTGCCAGCATCAATTTCTGAAAACATCCATCTGACGCTTTACTCAGGAGTTTGCTAAACTATTCAAGAGTCACCAGTTCACCAGTTAAATCTTCGGTTCTTGAAGTCCTTAGGCTCTGTGGAGTACTGTGTCATTTATTGCATATTGCCCGTCCCTGTCCTTTAATTTTGTTACTAGCTTTCTGATAAGCATCCTAAAAAGTTTCCATTCTTTTGAAATACTTCCTTCATCAACTTCTGAATATTGACATGTATTTAAAAAAAAAAAACAGCTTTACAATTCAGCAATATGTTGATAAGTTAAGTCCATTTCGAAAAATACTCAAATTATGACATCGGTGTTTATGTCACAATTTATCATTGTAATACCATGATTTCCTTGACTTTTTCACATGGAACAAAGATGCAGGATTTGATGTTTAAAATGATATATAGTTTGTAATAGAAATATGATAGGTAAGAAATATAATTAGATTTGAAAATGTAACATATCTTATGAAACACCCTGTACATCTCAAAATATCCTTGATATAACTCATTTCAGGAGTGGCATACCTGAATTTTGATACTTCAGGTAAAATTTTGGTTATTTTTCTTTATTTCAGTTTAATTTTCCTGAAAAGAGAAAGGCTGAAATAGCCCCTCCATGGATTTAGCTCTTTTGTATAGGTGGACATCTGAAATTTCCTTGCACGAAATTCAAAACCTTGACATTGCTTATAGAAATAAAATCAAAATAATTTCAAAATACTTTATTCCTAATTTACATCTTATGTGAAGTTTTTGTTTATGCCAACAACATGCATATGTTTGAAAAAAATGAAAATTTTCTGGAAAAAATATATTTGTCGATATCTGATATTTTCATGAAAAGTATACAAACAGGTTTAAAAAAAAATGGGAACGCTAATTTCATTGCCTTAGCATCAAGAATCCAGAATGACATTCTTTCTGGACATTTAGAGTTTAAAGTTAAACAAGAGGCCCAAAGGCCTTAACGGTCACCTGAGTACAACAATTTAGAGGATCCAGAAACTGAAAAATGAAGTTGTGTTGCACAAAAGCAAGAAAAATAGTATGATTAGGATTAACAAAATAATTGGTCAAGTATTTTTCTGTCCCCAGTTTATCACTATTACCACGCAGACTATTAACGAAATATCTATTTTTTTAAACCTCAAATTATTACAGTCACATTGGCCTCTCTTGGCCTTGCCTTTAAAGAACATTTAAAAAGATAAGTTATTTTATTGTATCATTTTTATTCATCTATTAATTCCAAGTCTACCTGATCATTAAAACTAAGAAAGTACTTTTTTATTATGCAATAAATCTTCTTGCATAATTCTCTTATTCTATTAATCTTTCAAATACATTATTACAGTGATTATTTATTATTAACATATATTATTAATATTATTAATATATATTAACAGTAATATTAATAATATTAATAATTATAATTATTAAAGGTGAATGGCAAAGGGGAATAACTTTGCTCAGTAGAATACAAATTAATAGAGCCCTAGCCAGGACCAGAACACTTGACTAAATGGTCCAGATGTTCAGCATTCTTGTAAAAATATCCTTGTTAAAACTTTTACTCTGTTTGCCTCCAATATTCCCAGGAGCAGAAAATATTTTCAAAGAAATAATGCACTTTCACTACAGATGCACCAACAAAGCCCAGGGTCTCTATCTGAAAAAAAAATCTAACTGCACTTTATAAGGAAACTTTCACCTACGTTTTGTCTCTTCTTCTGTTGTGGTTTTTGAGAAAAGATTTTTAAAGATTTTCCCTTTGTATATTCCCGGATAGAACTGTGGCCGCGGAATTCTGCCCAATCCATGCACCGTTGGGTTATTTGAATTAACTTAAATAATTCAATACATGGAGATGCTTTTGGTGTATAATTGTAGCCCTTAATTCTTGAGAAGAAGACAGTTACTGATTTATTTCTTTATATTCCAAAGTAAATCTTCAGTCTAAACCATATGCATACAAAAAAAAGTCTTACTTAAATTTTGCTTTGTTGGCTCGGTTGTTCTTGAGAAGATTTTTTAAAAAAATTCATTGACATTACACTGGCATATAATACTTTCTTCCCTTTTTAACTGTCCATGATATGAATGTTCTTGTACAATTGTTACAATGTCCAATTGGTCATTTTGCTACATAAATAATCTTAAAGCCAATCTTTTGTACTCCTTTACAGACAATATACTAACTTTAAACATGCAAAGTATATATATATATATATATATATATATATATATATATATATATATATATATATATATATATATATATATATGTTTATATATATATATATATATATATATATATATATATATATATATATATATATATATATATATATATATATAACATTCTATCTTCTATTCTCAATCAATCAAATAACCTGTTGATTAAATTATATACAAGGATTTCTTGATCAATACAAATTAGTAAAGGGGAGTAACTCTCATTTACTTCACTTATTACAATTTCGTAATCTGTTTACATCCTAGATACCAAGGAGCAGAGAAAAGGCACATTTGCTCAATTTATATTTATACATTTACATTTATATTATTGCATTTAGATTGTTTGCTTTATATTCAGAGGCAGTGGAGAAGATTTTCAAAGCATTAATGCATTTTTCCTATATTATCAATAGATTCACTATATGATCATAAGAGTCCCGTCCTTACACCAGAATCCCTATCCCAGGGGCCATGAAATTCACAACTTTGGAAGGAAGAGGCACCCTTCCTAATCATAATTATTTGTTTGCTTAATACCCAGGAGCAGTGGAGAACATTTTAAAGAAATAATGCATTTTCACTACATATTTAACAGACCCCGCCTAAGCACTAGAACCCCTGACCCTGGGGCCATGAAATTCACAATTCTGGTAGAGGGCTCGATGTATATTACAATCCTGCCAACAGTTTGACTGCTTGATGTCCAGGAGTAAAGAAGAAGATTTTTAAAGATTGCATTAATTTTGATGGTTTTAGCCGCACCCCTCAGGCCACAATGGGGCAGGGGCAATGAAATTCATAATTTTTACTTTCTTTACCCATAGATGCTATATGCCAAAATTCGTTGAAATTAGTTCACTGGTTCTAGAGAAGAAGCTGAAAACGTTTAAATGTTAACGAACGACGGACGACGCACGACGACGGACAAAAATAGATAGCAATAGGTCACCTGAGTAAACACATGAAATATATGGAGATAACGAACAGTATTCAAGCTCAAAAGTCCATTAATCAATACAAAATAGGAGCAGAGCAAACACGGACCTCTAAACATCAGAGGTGGGATCAGGTGTGACCTAATAAAAGCCTATAGTATTTCGAAAATTCAACAAAGTAATAATTAAATATATTCATAATGATTGTTTGTAGTTATTTATAACGCTCTATTATTATAGGATGGCTATAAGGATTCATTTTCAGATGGTTAAGAAATATAATTTTGCCTTTCACAAAATGCTTGAAGTATGTTAAAATAATTCATTCTTGTAGTGAAATAATTCAATACACAATAAATTTTTGATTTGAATAGCAAGCTCAAAACCAATTTTCAGGACTTGCTTCCTTTTTCACAGTAATAATAGTATTCATCAGAAGGTACCGTGCTGAAGGTTTTTCCGATATCTGTAGATATATCTTTAAAGCATGGTCTTCGTCTCGGTTTAGTATTCCAGCAACTCCTCATAATTCCATAATAGCTTTTTACAAAAGGAACTGAATTTAAATATTCCGTGGCAAAAATAAATTTTTCATGTCATGCTTTTTAAATTCAAAGTTATGCTATTAAACTGACTTTTAAACGTTATTTTTTCATAGTTATTTAACTTAGAATTTTTCTAGTGTACTTTATTTTATTTACATTTTTCATTTTCGGAAACATTAGTAGTGACTAGAGTCAAAACATATGAATTGATTTTATATTTATTGAGTGCTTCATCTAACTTATTCGAAACTAACTTACAAGTCATTTGCAAACTCTGGTCTGTTCATTCTATGGCCATTTCTAACTTGAGCTTGAACATCTCTACTTCGTATTCCCGGGTATGGAGTTTCACCTAGGAATTTAATATGAAAACAGATAAAAGAGTTTCTAATTTGTATAACATTAATTTTTTCTTTACTTTTTTCCAACCAAATGACACATAATTTATACCAATTCATAATATAATTAATTAATTATTTGAAATTATTCCACTTTTTAAGAAATAAGAATAATATCATACGTACCCAAAGAAAAAACTTCCCATAAAACAACCCCAAAAGACCACACATCACTTTTTGTGCTGGCAGTTTTCATTGAAACAAAACATTCTGGGGCTGTCCATTTTACAGGGATTCGCTCCTAGAGTATTTTTTTACCAAAAAAAATAAATGTTTATAGATATAAAAACTAAAATAGTCTCACCATTTTATATGTAAATCACACTATTAAAATCATATAAATATTCTCTTGTTGTTCCTTAAATTATTATTCCATTTTCTCACGCCATGTAAATGATGATTTTTTTCTAAACCCTCTATCTTCTATTACGGATTTCTGAATTAATCAAACCTTTTCTTCGGAGGTACCACCTCCATCATCTTCGGTACTTTGCTGTTGTTGTGGTTCCGGTCCAAATCCATAGATTTGGGGTTCTAGTTCCTCAGATAGTAACACATTTCGCGCTGCAAGTCTTCTGTGCACAATCTAAAATTACATGCACATATAACAGGATACGTTACTTTCTACTATTAAAAAATATTAATGCGGTAGAATACGATCAAATTTTGTAAAAAGAGTGATGTATTTCTACCTTTTTGGTCTCGAGGTAGTACATTCCCTTGGAAATTCCATAAACAATTCGATATAATAGTTCCACAATTTCCTCTGTTGATTCATTCTTTTGTTGAAGTAACCAGTCTCGAAGCTGTCCCCTTGTACAGTACTCAAAAACCATATATGGACCAACTGCAAAAAGGAAAATGATCAGTAAAAAAAAGAAAGTGTACTTATGCATGGAATCCGCCTCCCACAAACACAATATTTAAAGATAATTCAATCGACTTCTAAGTTTATACATTTATTTATTGGTTGGTTTATTGGCTGGCGACCTCCAAAATCTAATTTCAAACATTTTGCTCATTTAAGACACATAATTATACTGCTGAATCACTCATAACATGTACTTTGAAAATATCTATTGTGCAAACATGTTGTATGTATTGGATTGAAAAAAAATTGAAATATGTGTACTTCAGATAAGGTCCATTGATTTTTTTAGTTACCTGATCGTTGATTAGTGTAATTATCATTAATGAATATAAATTAATTCTATTGATGATATTACTTCTATGATGATGAACAAGAAGTTTTGCGAAGTATATCTGTATCTTAATAACTGCAATTCAGATCAGAATAAAACTTGGCATGATTAACGTAACATTTTGCTCTATGTTTATGACGACCCAATATATAGATGACTTGTTACTAAAACTACTTGACTCAGTCGTACTCGAGCAAGAAACGGCTGTGAAGTTTAACGTAAATCTGGAAAAATCCTTTTCAGTAATATATAATTATTTGTAAAAGGCTTATGATGATGACGACAAAGGACTTGCCAAAATTTATTGGATGGATTGTTCTAGTGAAAGAAGGAAGATGCTTAAAAATGATGTTCCTTCTTGATGCCAAATGAAAGTTAGTTAGGTAAGAGATGTGTCCTTATATAGTTGAGCAATTTGTAATGAAAGATCGTTCAGTCACAGATAGAGAAACAGTTGCTATCTTAACAATAAAATAATTCTTAATACATTAAAATCCAGTTAATAAGACTGTAAACAGTTTAGATATGAAAAAGAGAAAACGCAAAAAAGAAGAGTCTGATTGTGATGGACGCCATGATCAACAGCTGTGAACAGTACGCTACAGAGCATGCCACGTGAACGCCTGGACGACTTGTTTTGTACATGAAAAGAACAACGGCGTATGTGTATTCAAATTGGCGGGAACTACTTTAAAAAATATTATAACCCAATTTCATTTCTTTCATGAAAATTATTCAGTTAGTTTGCTAACTTTATTGATCGTCCCTCATACATCATATTACTGAATCCTGACTAACATGCATCATTATCGATGACAGATCCAATGAAATGAATGATGTTTGGATGTTCCCCGACTTCTTTTCCGAAAAAATTTATCTTTGCTCTCATCATCAGCAGGTTTTCTTCACTGTAACCACCTAAAAAAAATATTTTGTATTTTGTATTTTAGTGTTTATGAATTAAGAATGTTTCTTTCAGTAGATAAATTGAGATACTTGGATGATAAATTTGTATTTGATTAAAAAATGTAAGTCTTTAAATCCAGATATGGAATTAAAAATTTTGCAAGCAAATGTTGTAGTAACCTGTTTTTTAAAACGTTTCATTTTGATAACGTGCGACCTATTTCAGAATTTCTCTTAACGAGGAGAAATTATGACGATGTTTAATTGTACTAATTTACATGCTGCTTTTAAGATAAGTTTTACTTATGCATGTAAGGATGTTGTCGTCCAAATTAATACAAAATAAGGAGTAGTTCCGAAACAAAAAAATAACTTTGTAACTATCCAAAAAGAATATAATTAATTTAAAAATAATACTGTTCCTCAAACAAAGGCCTATCTATTGACTGAAATCTAAGAAATCATGATAATGTTAATCAGATTCACATCTGCAAATTATAATATCAATAGTAAAACAAAAATTGCATACTAATGGTAGTCAACAAAAACATTCATGAAAATGAAACTCAAATTCAATTGAAAACATAATAAATGTAACTTGGTGGTTACATGCATATTGCACCTGATCCCACCTCTGATGTTTTTGGAGGTCCTTGTTTTCTCTGCTCCCAATTTGTATTGTTTTAACGGAATTTGAGCTTGAATACTATTCGTTATCTCCAGATTTCATTTTATTACACTCATATGGATGAAATCTTCTGAAAACATACTTTTTAGAGTCTTTGCAACAACAATTTGTTTGGCTTTGTTATTTTGCTTTTGGTATCTGGCCTTATATATGTCTGCAAATCTTCCACTTGTTAATAAAGCATCCAACACAATGTCAGAACTCGGTAAAATCCATCTGTCAGTATTATTAAGTTCCATTTGGCCATAGATGTAAATGTCATCTATATCATTGTCGGGATTCTTAAAAATAAAGAAAACAATCATGCTAAACTATGCAATCATCATTCATAAAATTCTATGCATGACTGAAAAATTCAAAATGAAGCATAATTGTTCTTATGATTAATTTTAATAACCTTATTACTTACAGCTGAAAATCGATTAGATATATTCTTTCGAACTTCCGTCATCCGGCGTCGAATATCATTTCGTACAACTGACAAACGCCCTAGTCGCCATAGTACTACCATAGCAACAATTACACCAAGAAGTATCAAAAACGCTGAAATTATTTTTGACAAAATCATTGATATTTTGCGTCCGTGTGTAGGTTTTTTTTTCATGAACATGTCTACAATTATTTTAACTTTTTAAAATGTGATTCCAATTGTTTGGGGTGGGGGGGGGATAACTACCCACAAATTATTGATAATTATTTTCAATAAATAATGTTTGCAGGTAAATATTATTGTTATTTGCCGTGTATTAGCTTAATTTAACTAAAAATATAACTTTCAATTTACGGTAAAGATGACTTTTACCGGTGGACATTCCTGCTATCGCTCCTACGGTCAGAGCGGCTGGCGATTCGATTGTTTTGAAATTCAGAAACACGGGATCACTTCTTTGCCTTCCATACTCTGTGACAAAAGACAGATTATAACTTGTTTCCGGATCCAGTCCTGTCAAATCCACCCAATCTGCGTCTTTGTCTATAAATCGGGTCTCTGTTTGGCCACTAGATGAACGGAATTGCAGAATAATTTTTGACCTTTCGTAACAGGTTGGAGAGACGACCCATTTCAGACGAACGCTGTTGTCATAGGTTGCTATCACACTCAAATTCACTGGACCAATGTCTAAACAAAATGTTCTTATATCAAAATACGTTAAGGTACCAGGCTTTGAAAAAATTAACAGTTGTTATATGTGAAGGTTTGGTTAAACATCTAACAGTTGAATACTACAATCCTGTGGTATACTCTCGATCCACCGTAAATTAAATGGAATATAAAACAGGGCATGAAAGATAACAATATATACTTACATTCATCGATGCCGTCAAGTGAAGCTAAATCTGTAAACTGTAAAAAGTAATGACATGTCCGAAATAAAGCTTCTATAAATCTATAATTTTGAAAAGATATGTTCCTTGATATTTAATGCAGTGTAATCAATTGTCATACATGCATACACATATAATTACCGTTCTACTATAATGGGTTGTTTCCATTGCGTTGTTATATACAGTCAGATTCAGCAGAACAAACTCCTCCGAGAATTTTTCCTTTGACACTACCATCCAACAATTGTTTATGTCAATATGGTGACTAAAATAATAGAAGTCTCCCATAGGTATTCTATAACCTTCTTTCCTAACATCAATCTAAACAAAGAAAACAATTTATCATTTAAAGATCTGTTTTCAATTTCAAATTGTAAAAAAAAAATAAATGAGTGAACAACAATGGAAAATATGACATATACATTAGACTTATTTCCTTGAATATCACTCTTATGGAATAATTTGTTGCTGCTGTTCGCTACTAGCTCCAAGTGGATTTTATGAATTCCGCTATCTCTATCAAATGTTTCTATCTGAAATCTGAGTATGTCATTAGTTAGTGTGTATGCAACCACTGGTAAATTTAAAAGTACAATGCTAATGCATGGAATATTTTTTAAAGATAAAACTCGAAAAAAAATTCTTACCGACTTGAAAAAGCATATGTCGCAGATTTAATGTTAAGTGTTATTTTAACGTCCGAATCTTCCAATTTCACTGGTGGAGTGGAATCAAAAAAAATCTTTGTTAAGTCTACTTTTTCATTCCCCATGACGTCAGTAGCCCTGACCCAGAAATTTATCGCATCTCCATCTTTCCTCTCTTTAAAGAATGTTTGACTTTCTGAAAACATGTCTGTTACTGGAGACCATTTCTCGGGCGCCCTGTCACTGTTTCCATTCGTAAAGAAATATTCAAATTTCACTATACCACGAATATTTTGTATACTTTGCAGTGTTCTATTTCCTGTGTTATCATCAAGTTTTTGAGGTACTTGTTTCTCATATTTTGTCATATGATCAAAGTGTTGATAACGTGCAACCTGATTCAGAAGTTTATTTTCGTGGTGGAATTTGTTTTCAAAGTGTCCTTTCCATGACATTGTAATATTGTTTTCGAGATTATTTTGCCATTTGTAGTTTGTTTCTGGTTCTGCACTTGTGGCAAAGAATGGTGAAGTCGACAGTGTGATGTTTGATGAAGGGTCATACAACACCAAGGTGCGAGCGTACTGTGTATTGTTTGCATTGTCTATTACGTTTAAAATAAACGAATACATCCCTGCCTGTCTGGGTGTATACAAATACCTATAATTTGACTTTGTTTTGTTGAAGGATATCTCTTGAAGTGGGTTCCATGGATAAGGCTCTGTAAGGTATGTTGTATTCGGTTTCAGCAAATAAACCTGAAGCTTGTATCCTTGTATACCTGAGAGGTCATCAATCCAGTTGTTCCAAATAAATGTTATTGGTGACTTGTTTTAAAGAGAATATACAGAAAATTAACATTACATGTGTATTATGAGCCGAAAAACATATATGTAAGGCACCTGGAAACAGATGTAAAAATCAATTAATCATAAACCTGCTACCTACAATTGATAAGTCCTGATATACTTATATTGGACAAATTGAGACATTGCTTTGGATCTAGAGCTGTCTCATTCTCAGGGCCGAGATATACCTGTCTATGTCCGGGGGGGGGGGGGAGGTCTCGTCTTTAAATTGATAACATAATTTCTGCTTATTTTTTTTATTTAAGGCTAAAATTTGAGATTTAAATGTTAAATAAATACATATTGTACACTAAAGTTAAATCTGAATTTGTAAAATATATTTACGTTAGAATATTGAGACAAGTGCATTGAAAAAGTGCGCCAAATGATGCTATGTATCAAGTAAGAGACGTGTTTCTTAATTACCGGTTTAATTAGAACAACTTAATCAATAAATCACATTTTGGAAAGAAATGGGTATTTATTTGCGGTGAAAGTAAGACAATGCCAAGTTTTCTCCTTGTGCTGTCTTTAGTTTTGATATAATGAAAGGAAAAAGAAACGCAGGGTAACATAATGTTGAGTAATTATTTCACTACTTGACCGAAAATTATGAAAATTTGTCTGGGAGGTATTTTGGTTGCTTTGCACCTAAATTGGTGTTCAAAATTACTCAACCATAAAAGAAAATACGCCACTTTAGGAAAGTGTTCAAAAAACACAAAAGCTCTTGCAGATTGACGATGACAGATTTGTCAACAAATTTTGATACTACAAGTTGATATTCTGGAAGTATACACATTGTGTTTCGCTATATAAAGTCAATTTGAATTTCTTGCAAAAATGGTACAGCTGACGGAAGTTCAATGTTATCTGGCAAATTGCATTTCCTGATCGAGAACGAACAAAGGCAACAATAAGTTTTTGCAAAGTTTGTTGTAGATTTTCTCACATAAAATGTCTTATCGGTTCCCAGAGGAAGAGTGGGAGGGATTTCAACCAACCTTAAAGGGAACGTCAGGGCCTAACAAGGCCATGTTAAGACAAGGCTATCCATCCTATACTACCTGCGTCACTACCGTAAAAACCACTTTTAATGCAGTAGGCAATCATAATCTTCACTTCAACCTTAAAACTGGAAGAAACCCATTGCGTGAGTTTGGTCAGCGAGCTTGTCGAATTTACGAAGGTTCGTCTCAAACGCTCAGGTGAGCGCTGTAGGCCTATTTTTTCAGCATGATTACCCCCACCAAATGTAGCCAGGGTTTATCAAGACTTTCTGGCAAAAAAATCACATAAACCTACTCGACTGTGTCCGTACAATCCAACTTTGTCTCCAATTATACATATGTGGTACTAACTGGACTGTACAGTAAGAGGGTGTCTGAATTTTACAGCCCCTCGTGACTAGCTAAGGGCTACTTTGTTGGTACGGTTGGATAATATCTCTATGAGAAAGATAAATGCACCGAAGAACTCCATGCACAGTAGTATGAAGGCTGTGACCGATGCCTAAGAGTGGCATAGGAAATAATGACTACATTTTCGATTTTTACTTGTATGAGGGTACCGTTAAATGGATTTCAATTTCTGTTGAATTATTCGTCAAAATGAAATGAGATTTACTAAACTTGCTGATTAAAGATGTGTTTAAATGTTAGATAACAAAACTGGAAAATGCATGCAAAAAAATATCATTAAATCACATCAAACGTTTACCCTGCGTTTCTTTTTTTCTTTCAGAATATATTTCGCAAGCAAAACACGCAGCTACTATAAACTTCAGACCTGTAATAATCATCTGTTGCAATCGCATCTTCTTTGGCCTTTCCGGTAAGTTCCGAAAAACACATCGAACGTAAATACATCATCGGATGTTGAAATTTCATACGAAATGGAGTCGCTTACTACTTATTAAACTAGAACTGTCCAAAAGGGACAAATACCCCCCGCTGGGTTTTTCAGAGAAGGTACCAAATCAGTAATGTTTTCTAGATGTGAGAGGTGTTCACAATTTGCTAAAACATTTAGAGTGAAAATTTAATTACTCATTATATTATTTTTCATGAATGAAACTGCAGCCTAATAAAACATCAATACTAGTAATTAGTGTTTTTTATTACATTAAAAATATAGTTTGCAACTATCTGTCATCTTTGTGAGACATGACACTCTGCAAATTGATTATTGAAAAAAAAAATATCATAATTAATTATACAAAATCAAATTGATCTTAATACCTTTATATCAAACTCATTTTAAAAATAAAAGGCTGGTTCCAGAAACTATGCATATTTTGACAGACATAAATTACAATTAAGAGACTTAGACAACAGAGATCTTTATTTCTTTCTGCCCAATTCCCAGGAGATATAGATAAGACCTGCTTGATCAGAGATGCCCTAACAGCTTCCCACACTGAACTCATTAATTAATCTTTCACTGGATGCATGTCCACTCATTACTCCCAAGGGACAAATGGATTTACACTATCTGCTGTGTAATGTAAAAACTGTTTTTAATACTTTGGGATTTTTTTTTTAGTTCTAAAGAGTAGTTTTAAGCTGTAGTTCACATGGTCCGGACAAAATCTCGTCTACAGACAGACGGACAGACAGACGGACGGACAGACAGACGGACAAGCTGATTCCAATATATCCCCCATAAGCTTCGTTTGCGGGGGTATAATTAATGACAGAGTTGAAAGTGTTCTGTAGCATATTTTAGGTAATATCTTTACATTCAATGACGGTAAGATCCATACTCTATAGATAAGAAGTCTCCCTACATCTATTTCTAATTTTAAAAATGGGGTGGGGTCATATAATCTAATGTGATTTGGAAAATGGTATGTTTCAAATCACATGTACTCCTTTTTTAAACGACAAATCAGGCAAATTCTTTCCCTAAATGATTAATCACCATTGTCAAGCAAATACATTACCGACTTGATGAACCTCTAAAACAAAGGACAATAACTCTTTTTTTATATCTTGCAACAAAAATTTAATAAAACGTCTTCTTAATGGGAAAAAATTACTTTTTGTTCTTTTATTGCTTTTGTTTTTAGATACATGTACGAGGGTTGTTCGGAAAGTTCGTGGACTTCTGTCATTTAACGTCATATCATATCCAAATTTGGTAGAAATATTTTAACAATAAATTCACATAATATGTATTTAAAATTTTTTAAAATATCTTGATTTATTTCAAACTTATTAGGAGTTAAAAACTGCAAAAATTGGTTCGCGGAGCAAGTCAAAATTTAGTAATTTAAAAACAATACACTAATTAATGACTGTAGTCATGTCCTCTGTAAAAAGGCTCAAAACCAAAATAAATCTAGACGATCAAATTCAGAATTGTTACATCGTTTCATATTCCAAACTAGGACTTAATAGTTTGCTTCATGGAACAGAAATCAATTTCTGAAGATAGGTAGTCCTCATTGAAAAAGGCAAAAAAGGTGACGTCGTAGAACGTCACGGAGCAGCAGTTTACGATACAATTTTCTGTTGTACTCTGGAAAACGTCAGAATAAAATCTGAAATTGTTGTAGGAAGCATGAAATATCTCAAAAGCGGGTCATGCATATGTGTGTGTAAATGGCCCAGGCGGTATTTGAATGATAGAGAATCTGTATCAGACGAGGACGATCTGTGAGAAAACGGATTATCTGTAAAGATTCAACCCAAAAACGTTCAGTTAGTAAGGTCTTGGAGAGAGAAAGGCGTTTCACGGTTGCTGGTCTTGTGAAAGCATAGTTAAGCGGTAAAAAAAGAAAACATTGACAATTAAAATTATGCAACTTGAACAATTGTTAGCAAAATGAATTTCAATTGATACGGACACGTTTTAAATGTATAGGGAGAATATTTTGAGAATCTCATGACGCTTTATTTTTGACGTTCTAATGTTTTTAGTTTGCTCCGGAGCTATCAAACATGTTGATTTTAAAATAAAGTAAATTGATTTCTATTAAATCGAATGGAATGAAACTTCACACATCAACAAAATAAATATTTTTACATATGATAATGTGCTCATTTAAATTTCTTGAAGATAGTATAACGAAGATTGACATTGTCCACGAACTTTTCGAACAACCCTCGTATATGATATTAACAACATCACAACACTGTTTGATCTCATTCCTGGTTTCAGCTCTTGGATGCTTTCGTCCAGCGCCCTCCGGGCTTTGGCCGACATCAACCGCTCAGGCTGATACTAGGGCCGGGATCAAAGCAGCAGTGTTATATCATGTAATTATATACAGTAAAGATTAATCTACAAAAAATTTCATATAAAAAATGTAAGTTTGTGTATTATTACATGACAATGATTACTTCATTTCAGAATATTCATCTATTCTTTCGCTTAATCGCAACTAAAATGTTCTGTTTTCGATTGAAAAAAAAACTATATATTGTTCAACTCTTAATGTTTACCTGTTTACTATATAGATATATAAATAAAAGATTTTTTTCTAAAATACAAAGAACCTTTGTAATATCTTCTATCACATCCAAAACCTTCGCCATACAGGATCCCTTTTGAAGGCAATGATGGGGTTTCTCAAAGTCAAAACGAAACATTGTTGATTTTGTGGTCTTATGGCCGATAAATAAATCCTTTAATTGAGTACTTGGACTCTTAAGTTCTCGAAATCCTCCATTTTCAGCAATAACCGTTAACGTCAAACTGTTTAATTACATTAAAAAACGTAATTAACGTACAGTCAAAATAACATATTGATATTACATTTCATATCATAGGCAAATAACTCAGTATATCCTTTATAATATCAAATATAGTGCTAAATTCAAGATACCAGATAGCCATCTGAATCAAAATGGATATATATATTTATATAAATGAAAAATTGCTTAAATTTATTACTTGTCCCCGCTTTCTAGAAGTCTGTCAAAGTTTTCATCTGTGAAGTTACAATGAAAAACATCGTCATTAGGATTAAGTGAACCTGGTTGATTAGTACAGTTTTTGGTCTGACTTTGGCTCACAAAAGGGTTGTTTGGATCTAATACCGTAAAGAAAAAGTTTACTATAGTTGCAGATAAATTTACTTTACATTTCATGCACACTTCACATTCCACATTTTTTTGTGATGTGCACTCATTCTCATATAATATGAAGATGACAAAAACTCGCATACTTTTTTTCCCCCAAAAAAATAAAATGACGCGGAGTAGAAGGATAATACAAAATAATTATTTGGTTCTCTGCAAACGGATTAAATCTTATATATAAGCATTGTAAACGTTACCATTTCGGTCAATTTTCCGTAGATCAATCTGAATTTTTCCTGACACAATTCCGAATTTGAACTGTTCTACATATTCAGGAACTGCCAGGTTGTCTGGTCCTGTATAGAAAGCTGAAAATTCTACGTTGATATAATTATAATCCTTTTGATTAAGCCACAATGTATCTACTCTAGTTGAGTTCGGTTCAGAGGAATCCGTCATAAAGCGATATTTTTCTCTCTTCTGTCCAGTTCTTTCAATATTAGCAAGGACGGAAGTGCATCGAGTAATTGTTGGACCCACTCTTGAAGTCACTGTAAATAAGTAATATAATCTGGCTGGTTTGGTGATGCTGGGCAGATAATAGCATACATTAAACTCTACATTTATTATGCTTGTGAATAAAGAAAATGCATTATGAATGAAGCTCTGCAAAAACTATGAAAATAATGATTTATTTCTCCACTTCAGAAAATTTTCTAACAGAAGACATAGAATAAAAAGACATAAGATACAGACATAAGACATAGAGCACGAGGTAATGTTTATTTAACCAGACATGCATGTTGCAACAAAGACTTTAAAACAGTTTCATAAATCTTCACATAATCATGTTCCCATTAAATGAAATATGGAGATAACGAAGAGTATTTATATACTTTATTTACATATTTTATCACAATGTAGTTCATAGTCTTTGTGTTCTTTATTATCATCAAATCATGATTATATAGTATCCATCGCATTATTATTAAACCTACTTGTCTTGCATCGTTGTGAACCATTCTGACCAGAAAAACCTTGATAGCACTGACAATTTACGGAATTGCTACACGTCCCAGGAAAACATGGGGAATGGTAGGAACATAGGGCTGTGAAAGAAAAATGGCAAGGCATTTTTACAATTATGCGCAATACAAACATTTTAAAGAGAATGGGCATTAGATAAAAATTATATGAAATCATCGATAGTTCTCTACCATTTTTTTAGACTATTATCAAAAACTTAAGGAATTTCGTCTTTCTGCAGTTTAAGTTGGATCATTTATATAATAAGCTATTTATTTTAAATGGGTACCAAAAACAAATCTGTATTGGAAAAACTAACGTGTTTCGCAAAGAAGTCCTGTATAAGTTTCAGCGCATGAACATACATCAGGGTAAATGCATGTGCCACCATTTTGGCAAGGTTGTCTGCAAATAGCTGGGAACAAAAAAGCAACATTTTGGTATTTAATCAATACGGTATCTGATGAAATATCTATAAAATTATTAATTATTAATCATGCAGTGAGAGTGAACATTTCTTATTATGTCTAATTAGGTCATTGTTTCAAATTGGCAAGTTTGAAGTTGATCAAGTGAACAAAAAATTACATGCATTTAAAGTAAAGGTTCTGAATATCAAAAGTTTTGTTGTTTTTTTTTTGACTACGCTTTTCTATGTGAGAAAAAGGTATCCTAAAATTCCCGAATTTACCCTTAAATTTAGGATCAGAATAGTAATATTCATTTAGAAATCAGTTATAATGACATAAACTTAAAATAAAAAGAGATACATACGATTTCCGCAGTCACTCCCTTGAAAGGTACTCGGACATACACACTGTCTCGATTGGGAACAAGTTCCTCCATTCTTGCATGACGGTGTACAAATGGCTGTAATCAAACAATTGTGATTTCAAATAAATGAAATATTTTCATTTCTTTTACTTCTAGTAAAGATAGGTATAATTATAGAAATGACAAGAGAAGATATCGAACAGAGATTATTCTTAAAAGTCCATTTCAAACAATACAAAAAAAATGTAAGAGTATTGCTAAAACACACAAAGAAAACCGGAACGAGCGGGATTACATTATAAAGCAAATTTTATTACATTAATAATTATAGTAATTTACAGTTGATAATTCAATAAAATAAGAAGATAATTCTAGGTCTTATATCACAGATATTTGTTTCGTATATGGGGTCACCCCCTTCTTTTTTTTTTATTTCTACAAGATACCTAACTCGATTCCCAACTTCAAACTCGTATTTTTATTATAAATATATCATTACCTAAGTTATTTTGATATAGTTCGCTTCAAAAGACATTTTCCTTGTCAAATAAACCGTTCCAGATGCACTTAGTCAAGTCTCTGTATCATAAACCACGCATGTTATTCCTGAAAATTACCTCGACACATTTTATGACTTTACTCACGATACATCAACTTTCGGATAGGGTTATAATGTACGATAAAACCAAAGACTTCCAAGCTTAATTTCCATTATAGGGTTCATGGTTTTGTCGTACACTACAACCCCAACCGGAAGTTGATGTCCACTGTGTAAAGTCGAGGCAGTTTTTGTTATTTTAAATAACCGAGTTGCTGACGTGATTGTCTGTTTTTTGAGTTTGTTTGATCAGTGATGTAAGCATGGATTGTTCCTTTTTTATCAAAAGAACAACAACCTTTATCAATTAACAGACTGGTTTATAGTCTTCATTGATGTTCGTTTATGTAAATGGATAACTCTACCCTAAAATATAATTAGAGGACATTCAATATTCTGTATTTGAATACTGAATTTATTTCACGAGTGGAATATACGTTTTGGATTTTTTTTTCTAGTGCGAAGTCTCAGGAGTTGAATACAGAGCTGTTATAAGTAATTTCAATATCCCACTAACAATCGTTGATCTTCCGTTAAATTTAGGGGAATGTTGTCTAACGTAGTCCAGTTAGCTGCAAAGTTGTCTTATCCGCAATTAGTGTGATTCAAGATATGACAAAGCGAAAAATGTTTTGTAGACATTTTACAAGTATGTGTACATATTAGTAATGCCAAAATTGAATAAAGGTGTTTTCCCAAAGTTTTAGCAAATACTGGAATACGGAGAATCTAATTCGTCCAGCTAACTGTAAAGTTCACTATTCTGGAAGTGATGTAACTCAATGTATTAAATTAATTCTGGTTGATCACTTACGATCATTGCAGTTCGGACCACTGTATCTGCCCGCTGGACAACTACATGTATTCGGACTAACACAATTGCCTCCATTCTGGCAAATTGGATTACATCTAGCTGTAAACATTTCCAACCTCCATTAAATGCATCTTTGAGACATTATTAAGAATTATAAAATTAATAATCAAGTTAAAATTACTTAATATTGATTTATTCAAACATCATTACATGTAGTTTAATATTTTGAATGTTCATGTTCATTTGAGAAGTGAAAGGTAAAGAAAAAAAAGGTTTTCCAATCAGGCTTCGCCAGTTACCCTGAAATAGTGAAAAAGGCGAAGATAACGAACAGTGATCGATCTCAAAAACTCTAAAAACGATACAAAATTGTGAACAGCTCATAAAACATGGACCCCTGAAACTTCCAGAGGTGGGATCAGTTGCCTAGGAGAAGTAAGCATCCCATGTTAGTACATGAATATGTGTTAAAAACATAAAATTTACGTGTATCGCAGAGTCTACCAGTGTACCCTGGGCGGCAAGAACAGAAGTCAGGACGTGTGCAGGACCCAAACTGACAACTAGGATAACACTCAGCTGTAAACAAAAGTAAATAACAATAACAGAGAATAGTAAACAAAAGTAAGAAAAAGTCACAATCGTGATTAACCAATTCTCCAAAGGGGGAGTTTCGATAAGGCCACTTATCGGCCCACTTATTTTCATAAAAATAAACTTCGTTTTATTTTTTTTCAAAATTGGTTTAGAATTCAAGATATATATGTTAATTTTTGTTATTTATATTTCAAGAGTTTATATGAGATGAATTCACGCCGTAGTTGGCACATTCTTAGATGTACCCTCAAATGCTTTAACATTAGGCTAATGGGAAAATATAAGAGGGTGGCATTTATAAATCGATGGTTAGAATATGAAGTGCATGAGGAACACTCACCTAGTTTTGCTTAGTAATTAGATACACTTTGCACACTAATATCTTAAAATATGATGAGTGTCGCGTGTGCACTTCATATACAAAAATTGAAAATTGTCTAAAATTTGCATATCTAAAATTAGATGCTCCTGGTTACTTGATCTGACGCGGTGTTAAAATACAAAGCCAAAAGTAGCATATTTTTTTCTAAACCAAACAGAACTCTTGAAAATATTAACATAAGAAAACATAATCGTATCCTATCGTTATTTCCCTACTTATTCCGTCGCTCGCATATAACGTTAACGTCACATATTTAGCTCACGTACACGAAGTTGGGGGAGCTTTTGAAATACCATCGTTATAGGCGTATAGGTTATTAAAAGTTTTTAATCAATTTTTTCATATCATCAGAGTCGCCTGACCTAGTGTGTTTTCTTGTCATCTGTCGGGTTTTAGATGCTGCATTTTCAGTTAAAGAATGTCCAGGTTAATGTTTTTAAAGCAGGTTGATGTTTATGGAGCAGTGCAGCTATAAGCACTTGTTGAGAAGACGTGCTTCATGATGCATCTTCGGATGCACACTGTCAGACTTGCTTCAGATGCTAGATCTGACTTACATTTTCTTGATGAATGTTCATGGTATATATTTTTGAACATGTCTCATTTTCATGTAACTATAATCCCTATCTTGAAGAAATATGCACCGATGATGCATTTAGGGTTACACATTACCAGAACTGTTACAGATGCCGGATCTTACATTTTCCGAATGACTGACTGAACTAAAGAGAAGTTTAAGAATTAGTCCATTCATTAACGTTCTTTATCATGGATATGGTTATAGCCATTCCTTTGAATAGAAACTCTCCTCGCTTCAATCTGTTAGAGAAGGTTCACATATATTTCCGTGTGGTCTACATGTAGGGAACGTAGATTGCTTTTAAGACTGGGTGTTGATTTGTACGTATCTGCAGGATATGATTTAACACATACATTTGGTATTTACAAATGTATTTTAAATTGCGGCTATGGTCTAGCAAATCGAATAGTGACTAGAGTTGGTGAAACAACATAAGCATCAAAAGGTAGTTGGGAAGCGCGAGGAATTACATGTAGGTCCTCGCTTGCCTGAATTGTCTCATTTTTGCTGAAAACATAATGCACCTCTTTATGTGCTTAAATACTTTTAAGTTTAAGAATGAATAGAAGACATGCACTCAATGTATTTTAGTGTTTTTTTTATCATTTGGCTATTTATTCACACATTCTGTAAGCACTGCATTAGCAATAATAGTCCACTATCGGCACACCAAGTATAACCTGGTTTTCATTAAAAATTGAAAATGCCCTATATGAAAAAAATCATTGAATCAGAAGAAAATGCAAACTTGATGTATAACTCAAGTTTAACACATATACGAAAACAAAAATCAGCTCAATATATGCGATTTTTAAAAAAACAAAAACAAAACAAAAAACGCCGACCCCCCCCCCCCCCCACTTTTTTTGAATTTGTTATATTCCGTCAAAAATCAATGAAGCAGAATTTAAGGAAATCCAAACTTGAATTTAAAACTCTGTTTCTCATCAGGATACACTATAAATACCAAAAACCAGCTCAATATCTGCAAGCGTTTAGAGAAAAGTGCGAAAAACCAAGTGGAACAGACTGACAGATAGACAGAGGGACGGACGGACAAACAGGCGGACAGACGATGAGGAAACCTAAAGACCCCTCCGGCTTCACCGGTATGGGACTAATAATTACTATCTTGATAAAATATTTTGTCTGATAGTAATACGCTTGGTATTATTAAATACAATGTACATTGCAGACTATGATTCTTTTAAATATACTTTAAAAATATAAATAGCTGAATTTTTTAATCGTACCGAATTCCGAAATCTGTTAATTTCAAGATTTTTTGAAAAATTCAATTTAATGACATTACGGTACATTTTATTAATACTATATTTAGCACAATAACTTTAGTTGATAAAAATGTGTTGCAAGCAGCGTCAAACTCCTGTCGATGACAGTTTAAGTTTATCTATCTCTTGTCTATATATCTTTACATTTGCTTTTCTACGTACGGGAAAATGTTATATATTGATTATTAAGTCTAAGTATAAACTGTCGATTAATTCATTTTTTGAAAATTCCTGTCTTTATTATTCATATACGTTTTATATGTTACATTCATCCTCTTTGAAAGAAGAGTTACAATTAAAACACGAGAAAAATCTTGCACCTTAAAACGCATTCAAATAAAATAAACATCATTAATTTTCTGTAAAGACAAATGTTGAAATTGGTTATTTGATGTCTTTATTCACATTTGTAATATTTCATTTATGATTTTGACGTAAAATAAACTCCATTACCCTCTTTAAATATGACCCCTCCAAAAATATAGTGAAGAGGGTATACTTAAATTTTTAATTATCACGTGACCAGAAAATGTGCAGTATAATTTTTTTTCATATTTTTAGGAAGATAACACTTTTATCTACAACATATCACAATTTCATCATATTTCTTTAGGGGCCGAAAAACAGCCTTATCGAAACTCCCCCTTTAAATTTCTCAACACATCCTTTTGGGATGCATACTCTTAATATATATCAATATTTTTTCTTACGTGTTTGACAGGCATTTCCAGTATACCCTCTCCAACAGCGGCAGGCCTCGGGAGCTATACAAGTACCATGGCCATGACAATCACTGCTGCATATAGCTGTATAAAAATATACTAGACTTTGACCCGTGCGTGCACGGGTTGACATTGTTATGAATGCATCCATGTGCATATCGGACATCTACAAAATAGATACATCGACACATTCATATTGTAAGGTACTTTTGAAATATACAATGAATGTGAATATAATTCGGGGGTGGGGGTGTTTTTGGTTTGTTTTTGTTTTTGTTTTTTTTTGTTTTTTTTTTTTTTGTTTTTTGTTTTTTTTTTTTTGTTTTTTTGTTTTTTTTTTTTTTTTTGCAAAATTGTTGCGTAACGGCGTAGCGCAGAATGGTTTTGACCCCCAGTTAGCTATAAATCAAGTCATGAGTTCGAATCACGCCGGAGCTTACATAAATTTCACCTTTCCAAATAAATTCAATAAAAGAAATTATGGATATTTATTGAAAATATGACAACAAAGAGTTGAGCAGTGCTGATAAATATCAAGCAAAGTAATGAAAATGAAGAAATGTGCTAAGCTGGTATTACACAATCATTTATTAAACTAAAGGTGTAAAAAAAAATTGTAACAATTTTAACACTGCATGTCTCAACTTGTTCAAAATATGACCTCAACAATGAAAGAGTTAAGCACTGCTAATACATATACTTTATATATACACAAGTAATAGTCATGCACAGGCGCTTGACGTTTTTAACCTTTCTTTCCATAAATAAAAATCCCCCATACTATAATAATAACGTTATTATTATAGTATGGGGGATTTTTTATTTATGGAAAGAAAGGTTAAAAACGTCAAGCGCCTGTGGTATTTACATAACAAAGCTATAAGCCTACAATAATGCTATGAATTTCACTACACTCCTAAGAATTATAAATTGATGTGAATTTTTTGCATGGAATCAAATATTTCTTTGCCCTTAGTTTATGTTTCATATTTACCACGTTATAAATCTCAGCAGTGAAGGTTATACATGTAGTAGACATGGCGAACAAATTGAAGTTGCAATCATTTAGACACATTTCAAATTGAAGATATCGGTTATATTAAAGTTATTTAATTATTTTGATTTATTTCAAAGTTAAGAAATGAAAATAATGTTGTAATTTTTGGCGGAAAAGAATACCTACTTCACTAAGATGTGATTCTAGCTGGAGTTGTAACACCCCCCCCCCTTCCCCTCATAAAAGCATAAAAGAAAGGAAGGATAAAATAAAATCGGGTAGTTACATTAATATTCCTCCTATGATCATGAGCTTTTTGTCCCCGTTGAGATGGCCAGAGACTTAAATAACATATAATAAATGTGTCTCCGAGATGGCAAATGATTACACACGTGGCCACAATATCACATTTGCATGGATAAACTCAGAAAGATAATACAAATACGACGTCGTGTAAATTTTCATTGAAAATTTGCTATATATTCTGTTCATATATATTTATGAT